TTAAATAAAATTGTAAGGGGTGGGGTTGGTGTAAGGAATTTCAAAGGGGGGGGGGGGGGGCGTTCTGAAAAAGCAGACCTTTTTACCATGAAACCTCCAACCCCCCCCCCCCCACCTCCCCCTCCTCGCTTTGGGCCTGAGAGTCACTGAGTAATTTTGTTGGAAATCAAATGTGAAGATTGACCAGCACTTATCAAATTATGACAAAAGTAGTAATAGTAATAATTATGTACATGTATAAATATTTTATCTCAATTATGAAATTTCACCAGCACTTGTTTTAAGTTCTGCTCAGAGGATGCTTCTGGTACATGTTATGTAGTTTGCTTGCACTTAAGCACAGTAGGCAGTCACAAAGTAAGTTCAAGAGCTTTACTGACAGCTTTTTCAACCCCTGATACCTTATCTATTCCCTTTACTGCCTCACTTACTGTGTACACAAACACTTCACTGGAAAATTTGCTACCATCGTAAAAAGGGATGGATTTGAAGTGCACTAGAATTGTCAGAAACATTTTAAAGAAAAGGACTTTTAGACTGGGTTTGGAAATGGTTAAAATTGAGAGAAAGTGAGAGAGGAATTAATGAAGGTGAGAAGCAAGGGAAGGGAGGGAGGGAAAGAAAGAAAGAAATTAAAAGATCTAGAGAAAAGACCGTTGGATGAGTAAAGGAAAGAAAGAAACTTCAATGAGGTAATTTACCTGTAGAAGGAAAGAAAGTAAAGAGGGAAAGAAGGACAGATAGATGAATAAAGTAATACCATTGTGCTCATCTCATTTAACAGACCACACACACACACACACACACACACACACACATACAGGTGTATGTATTACACCTGTACCTCTCTCAACTTAACAACATACTTAAGTTTCTAACTTTAAACACATTGCTGATCATCATGTGTCATCTGGCTTAGGTAAGACTACAATGTGACTGCCAATTATCTCCTCCAGGCTAGGGGAATTAATGGACATATGAGTATCCCTGGTCAATTAGAGTATCCCTTGGTCATTTTCTGTCAAGTATGTGGCTATAAATCTGTTGGATGATGTATTGTCACGGCCATTA